CAAACGACTCTTCGCCACCACCCACACCCAGCTTCCCGCCCTATGACGTTCGGACACTTCACTTCGTGGCATGCGGACGACCGTGGCTACTATTCAGGGCCCCGCGGCCGACGACGACGGCGTGCGCGCGCGAAGAAAAAACGAATGTGTCCCGCATGGTATTATTTGACAGGGATGATGGCCCTGGCAGGTGCGCAACCGTTGTTGCAGAAGTTCGAAAAAGTTGCTCGCAAAAGCCCGTTTGACAGAAATGATTAAAAAAATGTTGGGTTTCCTACGAATCCGCAAGAGCGCGCGAGATGAAATTTTGACATTTAAAAAAAAAAAAAAAAAAAAAATGTTTTATGTTTTTATGTTAAAATCGCTACGAAAACTAAGGTTTTGGAAGGATTTCGTCTTGCGCGCGCGAATGTCCACTTCACCTTATTTTTTGCAAGGGATTCTTGAAGTTTGGTTATGTTAGAACAAGAAATGTCCACTTTAGCTTATTTTTTGCAAGGGAAAACCGATCGTAACAACACAACCGGCTCCGGACTCCCCCGCTTTGCCTGAGACTTCCTCACGAAAATGATGAAAATGAGGCTGCGGCCTAGGCGCGGCGGGGGGGTCGTGCACCAGGGGCCCCAACAATAATTATTCTTTAGAAGTAATAATGTTCAACAACGGTTCCCGCCTGATACTTCCCCACACTTAATTCCCAACCCTCCTTGGTTGGGCATTCGTTTTGAATAGAGCAGTGCGATCTCCAATCCTTCTCTTCCTTCTCCTCCTCTGGCCTCCTCCTCCCGCCTCCCTCCTCCCGCCTCCCGTCTCCCTCTTGCTTTGTGCGGACCTCGCCATCCCTGGGGGGCTGCGATCTGCGAAACTGTCGCCACTTTCGAGGGCTGCTGGTGGGTCCTGCGGAGTGAGGCACCGCGGGGACCTGAGCGGGACCTCGCCGTCCCTGGGGGGCCGCGATCCGCGACACTGTCGCCACTTTCGAGGGCTGCTGTTGGGTCCTGCGGAATGAGGCGCCGCGGCCCCGGACGGTCTGTGCACCCGCATCCCCCCCTGGGAGACAGAATCATAAGAGTGTGCACGCTGCTCCATCGGGTCTTCATCCTGTCGGCGCGATCGGCTCGAGCAGGGCCGCATCAGCAGACTGTGAGAAAGACTGAGGTTGATCATGCTAACCACCCCGAGCGCCTGGCCCACGCCGAGGCCTCCCGGAGCGGCCTCTGCGGGCGAGCGGCTCTGGCGTTGGCTGGCGATTTGAGGCAAGGCCTAGTCAGACCAGCCAACCTCGCTCTCTGGGCCCACGCCCCGCACGCCACGCAGAAGAGGCGGTTGCCTACTCGCCACAGCCGATGCGATTCATGGACGTCGACTGTCCACCACGGCGGCAAGGATGGTGGTTCTGGGTGCTGCCGTCGCGGCCGATGCGCCGGTTCGCCTTCGGCGCCGAGGCTGCCTGAGCTCTCCGCCGCGGCACTGGCCCCTGTAGAGCTCTTCATCTGCTCACGTGCGTGTTCACCATCCGCCTGGCCGCCCTCACTGGCATGTGCATTCACCTTGTGGATCTCTACCTGCTCCTCGCCGATGCCATGCATCGTCTCCCAGGAGCGGACCCACAGCTCTCGGTAAGGCCGCCTCCACTGCAGACACCACTGCCTGCCAGCCTTGAAGCCGTCCACGAGCATCTTGCAATCAGTGCAGATGCGTGCTGGCTGCGTGCATGCCTGGAGAACCTCGATGCAGGCCACGAGTTCCGCCGCCCCTGGCTCCTTCAGGTATGGCTAGGGGACGGGCCCGAACTGGGCGACTAGCTCCCCGTCGTGGCCCATGACCATTGCGCTTTACCATGCAGGCGCCGCGCATGTGCTGGGCTCCTCTACGCTCCAGTCGGTGGAAGATGTCTCCCAGCAGCGGCTGGCCCAGGGCGCCTGGTGCGCCCACCCTCTTCGCATTCCCTCTGGGAAGTGGGCGGAGGGATGTGTCTGCGATGCTCCGCTGCCGGGCCGCGCGACCAAAGGGCCTCCTCCTCTGCGGAACGGGATGCCGTCGGTCGGTTTCCTCCCGTCGGCGTCGTCGTTTTCCGCGTGCTCCGCCCTGGCCTCCCCCGTCGCCGCGCACCGCCGTGCCAGGCGGCGGATGGTGCTCCGCTGCCGCAGCCCCTCGGGTACAGCATGGTTGATGATGATGACGTTGTTTGTGAGATCGGTTGTGAAATCGATAGTGAGATCGTTAGTTAGACCGAATGTGAGATCGATTGTGATCGATCGTGAGATCGAGAGTGAGATCGTTAGTTAGACCGAATGTGAGATCGATTGTGATCGATCGTGAGATCGATTGTGAGATCGATGGTCATATCGACTGTGAGATCGATCGAATGAAATAGATCGAGTGAGATCGATTGTGAGATCGATCGAGTGGGATCGATCGAGCGAGACCGATAGTGAGATCGATAGTGAGATCGATAATGAGACCGCTCGAGCGAGACGTTGGTTCCTCCCCCACCGAATCTCCTTATCACCCGAAAGGTGGTCGTATAGGTACACACATATGTATAAACACATACATGTGTGCCCTTATCAATTTCATCGTTCGGACCCCGTGGGACACTTTCCAAGAGGGCAACGAACATCTAATTATTCGGCGACGAATTAATGGCAGTCGGGGTTCCAGGGGGTGAGGGGGGGACCATCATTTTTTAAACAAGTTTTGGACATCAAAAAGCAGGGCGCGAGCCCCGACGGGGGCACTTCAATTAAAAACACATTGCGCACCTGTTGGGGGGTCAACAATACACTTCTGTTAAGACTGAGTCGACAACAGCAGCAGCAATCGTTTTAAGACTGTTCGCTGCTCGCGGGCCATTCAGCGCGTATATCCCAAACCCTCGTTACCCGCAAACTTCGTCTTCGGACGTAACCCCCGTGGGGGGATATATATATATATGTATATATGTATACGACCACCCTTCGGGTGATAAGGAGGTTGTGGAGGGGGAGAGGGTGGGAACCAACATCTGACTCAATCGATCCCACTATCGATATCACTCAACGGGACACACCGGGACACCACCGGACACTTGTCGATCGTATTATCGATCTCACGATCGATCTCACTTAACGGGACACCACGGGACACCACGGGACACCTCTCGATCTCACTATCGGTCTTACTACCGATTTCACTATCGATCTCACCCATCGGGACACCATAGGGCAACATGGGACACCTCGGGACACCACATCGATCTCACTATCGATCTCACTATCGATATCACTCAAAAGAACACCACGGGACACCACGGGGCACCACATCGATCTCAGTATCGATCTCAGTATCGATCTCACTCAACGGGACACCACGGGACACCACGGGACACCTGTCGATCTCACTATCGATCTCACTATCGATCTCACTCAAATGGACACCACGGGACACCACGGGACACCTCGGGGCACCACATCGATCTCAGTATCGATCTCCATATCGACCTCACTATCGATCTCACTATCGATCCCACTTAACGGGACACCACGGGACACCACGGGACACCACGGGACAAAGCGGGACACCGCGAGCCACCGCCGGACGCACGGACGGACGGGCGGGCGGGAGAGAATCATTTGTCTTGACTTCGCCCTAGCAACGGCGGACACCACGGGACACCACGGGACACCGCGGGACACCGCGAGCCACCGCTGGACGGACAGACGCGCGGGCGGGGGAGAATTATTTGTCTCGACTTCGCCCTAGCAACGGCCGACACCACGGGACACCACGGGACACCACGGGACACCGCGAGCCACCGCCGGACGGACGGACGGGCGGGCGGGGGAGAATCATTTGCCTTGACTTCGCGCTAGCAACGGCGGGTTCACTCCTCTTGCGAGCCCACGCAGCTTCGCCTTGCACGCACGCGCGCACGACACGAACGAAACGAAACGATTTCCTGCTCGGGGATCTCCGTTCCGTTGCGATCTCACCCCCCAACCTCCGATATATACATACATACACATATACATATACGCATTTGTCTTATCTGCAACGTGCACAACAGCAACAGCAGCAACAATCCGCACCGCGGAACCTCACTTCAGCCACGCGCCCAGGGATAGTGAATTACCGTTCGGCCCCCTCACTCTGATAAGTATGTCCTCCTCGCCGCACCCCCGGCATTTCGATACGGCGGGCTGAAGCTTGACACTTACAACATATTCAACAATACATTGTGGGTTCGTTTCGGCATGTGCCGCTCGCCTCAGCGTCGCGCACAGCTGTCTTATAAGTTCGTAGCAGCTTCAAGAATGGAGGGCGGTTCCTTTTCGAGCTGTGGCCCTTGCCATAGCGCCGCGCTCACTCGTCTCAACAGCTTAAATGTTGTTAAGGGCTCGCATAGTCGAAGACCCACGAATAGTGCTCTCACACCATTCTGGATTGTCAGGACTCAACAGTCACACTGATTCGAGGAGTTGAGGCCCTCGGAACGGCACTCTGGCACGACTTCAGGTTGTCAGGACGCAACAGTCACACTGACTCGTGATGTTTCAAGTCCTTGGGATGGCGTTCTGGCGCGATGAACGATTACTGGGAGGCAAGAGTCACGCTGCTTCACGGCGCTGCAGTCCCAGGATCGGTCGGTTGGCACGGTATGAGCTTCTCGAACGGTTGTCTTCCAATGGGGCGCACCTCCCGGAAGGAAAAGCCATGTTTGTAGGGACACGTGAAGAGGCAGTTGGAGGGGGGGTGTATTGCAACACCTTTGATGCGTCGTGGAGTTTACACTGGTCCTCCTCCACCTCCTCCTCCCGCTCCTCCTCCTCCTCCTCCTCCTCCTCCTCCTCCTCCTCCTCCTCCTCCTCCTCCTCCTCCTCCTCCTCCCTCCCTCCTCCCTCCTCCTCCTCCTCCTCCTCCTCCTCCTCCTCCTCCTCCTCCTCCTCTCCTCCCTCCTCCTCCTCCTCCTCCTCCTCCTCCTCCTGCTCCTTCTCCTCCTGTTCCTCCTCAGCGGGCGCCTGTGCGGGCGGCGCCGGGCGCTCCAGGGAGTCCCCTCGCGCAGGGCGGACGCGCCAGGAGGAAGGGGAGGAGGAGGGTGAGGAGGAGGAGGAGGCGGCGGAGGAGGAGGACGAGGAGGAGGAGGAGGCGGCGGAGGAGGAGGTCGAGGAGGAGGAGAAGGAGGAGGGGGAGGAGCAGAGGAGGAGGAGAGGAGGAGGAGGAGGAGGAGGAGGAGGTGGAGGGAGGGGGAGTGGTAAGAAAGGCGAGGCTTGGGAGGGGGGGGGAGTGCGCTGCATCACAGAACGAGTCCAACTGCCCGCAGTCATCATAAGTATTGCACTGCGCAGCCCTGTAAAATCTTGCAGCCGCTTGCTGCACCGAGTGTAACTGGCTTAGGTGCGACTCATTCGCAAGAACATGAAAATCAGGATGAGGAGGGGCAGGGGGAGGCGGGGGGGAGAGGAGAAGGAGTGGGAGGGAAGGGCGAGGAGTGTTGAGGGGAGGGGACTGCGGGGGAGGTGCAAGAGGAAGGAGGAAGGTGGAAATGAGAGGCGGTGGGAGGGGAGGAGAGGGGTGCGCCAAGGGCGAAAGAAGGGTCCGATGCATCGCGCGTAGAACCGAATCTCCAGAGCCTCCATCCCTATATAACCCCCGCCGTGCTCTCCCTCCCCTCCTCCCTCCGTCAGCCCCTCCTCCTGCTCCAGCCCTTCTCCTTGTGAAGCACAACTCCTCCTTTGTCGCGCCCCCGGGCGTGTCGGCAGGGCGCGCCAGGCGCTTCGCCCGAGGCTTCCCCATCATTGCGGGGGAAGAGGAGGAGGAGAAGGAGGAGGAGGAAGAGGAGGAGGAGGAGGAGGAGGAGGAGGAGGAAGAGAAGGAAGCGGAGGAGGAGGAGGAGGAGGAGGAGGAGGAGGAGGAGAAGTAGGAGGAGGAGGGCGGCCGGTTTCCAAAATGTGGCCCTCGCCCGACCGCCGCGCGCATTCGTCCGAAACGCTCGCAGCAGCTTTGTGGACGGAGGGCGGCGGGTTTTCAAAGTGTGGCCTTCGCCTCTGACCACCTACCAAACCACCCAAACCCAACCCGAAGGCCCGAATTTGAGCCGAATTTCGGGTGGGGGGCGGTGCGGGCTCCATGTGTCTTTTCGGTGTTCCCCGACCCCCCCCCCACTGGAAATGGAAAACAAATTGAGGCCTTGGGGTTGGGTTGGGGTGGTTTGGTGGATGGTGAGCCTCCGCGTCGTTCGCACAGTCTTCCGAAAAGCTTAGAGAGCTTCAGGGCCGGTTATCAAACGGTCGCTCTCGCCCCAGCGTCGTCCGCGCTCGCCTTCACTGGCCATCGCTCGGACGTCCATTCCCTGTTTTTGTTCGGCTTCGAGCGTGGCTTTTCTCGTAAAATGATCAAGGATGCTCCTCGATGGTCATCGCCGAAGGGAAAATGCACACGTCCGAGCGATGCCAAGTTCAAGGTTTGCCACCACTTCGAGCATGGAGTGCGGCTCTTTTTCGAAATGAGGCGCTCGCTATAGCGCCGCGCACAGTCGTCTGAAAGGTCGCAACAGTTCCAGGGGCTCGTAGAGCTGAAGTCCCAGGCATGGCTTGCTCGCACGATTTAGGATTGTCAGGACGCGTCAGTCACATTGATTCGCGGTGCCGAACTCCCAGGATGGTGCTCAGGCACGGTGTAGGAATGTCAGGACGCAGCAGTCACGCTGATCCGCGGCGTGGAGGTGCCACGAATGGTTTAGTTCTGAGAAGGTTGTCTTCCGATGGGCGCACTTCCCACAATGAACAGAACTTCTGTAGGGACCGATGAAACAGGGAACTTGGAGGAAGGGTTCATTGCAGCATCGTTGAGGCGTCTTGGGTTTACACTGGTCCTCCTCCTCGTCCTCCTCCTCGCACTCCCCCTCCTCCTCCTCCTCCTCCTCCTCCTCCTCCTCCTCCTCCTCCTACTGCTCCTCCTCATCCTCCCTCTCCTCCTCCTGCTCCTCCTCCTCCTACTCCTCCTCCTCAATCATCCTCGCGATGTTGGCCTCCAAGACGGCTAAGATGGTCCAACATGGCCTCCAAGACGCCTCCAAGCCTGCCAATATGGCCCCAACGCAACCCGGCATGCCCTCCAGACGGCCTCAGAGGCCCCCGAGGCGCTACAAGAGGGCTCCAAGAAGACCTCCAGAAGGCCAAAGCCATTGCTGTCCCTGTGGTTTGTCAAATGTAGCATTCTCGCCTTTTCGGGTTTCCGACCGCACTAAGACGGCCCCGAAAGCCATTACGATCACCAACGGAGGAATCATACAAGCGCGCAAGACGGCCCAAGAGGGACCCAAGACGGTCCAAGAGGCTCCCAAGACGGCACCAAGACAGGCCCGCAGACCCAAAAGACGACCGAACAACGCCAAAAGAGGGACGCACGACTGCCCAGAGAAGCCCCCCACCTGCCTGCGAGGAGCAAGAGGTCCCTCCGAGGCCCCCATAGCCACCCCAAGAGGCCCCAGGAGGCCCGCAAAAAGCCCCTTAGAGCCCCCTGGAAGTCTCACAGGGAGCTCCCAGGGAGCCTCAAGACGGCATCCAAAGGCCTCCTTCTCCGTTTGCTCCTCCTCCTCCTCCGCCTCCTCCTCTCCCTCCTCCTCCTCCTCCGCCTCCTCCTCCCTCTCCCCCTCCTCCTCCTCCTCCTCCTCCTCCTCCTCCTCCTTCTCCGCCTTCTCCTCCCTCTCGTCGTTCTCGCTCTTTCTCTCCCGAGTGCTCCCCCAAGAGGCTCCACAACGGCTGTGGAGAGCACATCGTCCAATAGCTGGGCCAGAGATTGGCCCAACGCGTGGCCGTATGGGCATATCCAAGAGGCAGTGGGCGGCGGTGGTTCGCCGCAGGAGTCCTTAGATGCATTCAACAGAGCTCCTCGAGCCTCAGGAGGAAGGGTGCCGAGAAGCAGCAGGGTGATGGCGAGGACGACGAGCAGGAAGGGGAGCAATACCTCCAGCGACGAGGGAGAAGGAGGATGCGGGACGAGGAGTAGTGGTAGGACATCAGGGAGGGGGAGGGCGGTAGGCAGGAGGAGGAGGAGGAGGAGGAGGAGGAGGAGGAGGAGGAAGAGGAGGAGGAGGAGGAGCAGCAGCAGCAGCAGGAGGGGGGAGGGAGTGGGGAGGGGCAGAGGAAACGGGGAGGAAATGGAAGTGGGGAGGATGAGTACACGGGACGAAGAAGGAAGAGTAAGAGGAGGAGGATGAGAAGGAGAACAAGGGTGAGGGGGGAGGAGGAGGAGGAGCAGCAGCAGCAGCAGGAGGAGGAGGAGGAGGAGGAGGAGAAGAAGACAGAGCGCAGGAGGAGAAGGAGGAGGAGGAGGAGGAGGACGTGGAGGAGACGGCGAGCAGGAGGAGGACGTGGAGGAGACTGCGAGCAGGAGGAGGAGGAGGAGGAGGAGGAGGAGGAGGAGGAGGAGGAGGAGGAGGAGGAGGAGGAGGACCGAGCGGCAGCCGCGACAACCCGCTCGAGGCGAGCGCGCGCGCGCGCGGCGCCTGTGCCCGTCGCCGCCGGGGCGGGCCCGTCCTGCCAAAAGGAGGCGTCCGCCTCGGTCACGCCATCGCTTGGAGCCGCTCGCAGCCCCGGGCGCTGCATCGGAGAGCGCCTCCTGGCGACCATGGGGGCGGGGGCTCTCCTCGAGGGGGGGCGTCCTGGAGGGGGCGCTCTCCTCAGGGGGGGGGGGCCAGTGGAGTATTCGACCAGAGCCCCCCTTGCCACCCATCACCAGCCCTGGGCGGTCTTCGGCGGTCTTCTGGCGGTCTTCGCTGGTTTTCTGACGGTCTTCGGCGGTTTCCGGCGGTAGAGCTGGATAGTTGCGGTTCACAGTGGGCCCATGATCGAATGTCTAACCTAAGCACGCGCCTATGGCCCCCCCCGTCTCGTGGCCCCTCGGCGAAAAAAAGGCGTGGTGAGCAGTCTGGGGCATCCCAGAGCCTCACCCCAAACGTGCTGGAGTCGTGAACAAGAAGGCGATCGAGGGATTTTCGGGGGCGTCCAAAGGGGGATGGGCGTCAAAGAGAGGCTTCGCGAATCATGTCCCGAGGCATGTGCGTGGACGGGGGGGGGGGCGGGGAGCGCAGTGAAAGGAGAAGGGGGGCCCGCAGCACATTTCTCAATGCTCCCAGCCCGAACCCCAGGAAGCTGAAGCAGCCCTGGCGCGTTTCTCCTGCGTGGTCCCTGTGGCGCCGGGGTGGGTGCTGAGGCCTCCGAGCTGGAGCCCCCCCGAGGGCTTCTCTCCGCGGCTGCCCCGCCGCCCCGGCCAGACGCACTGCTCGATGCCACAGGTGACGAGGATGCCGCCGAAGAAGGAACGCCCGAGGAAGACACCGGCTGTGCCGACGGGCAGGAGCTGGCTGACTACCCCATGGGGGGAGCGTTTGGGAGCGTTTGGGCTACGCCCGAGGGGCCGTGCTATACCACTTGGCAGGCGCCGAAGCCTCTACTCACACACCCGCACCCGCTGGCACAGAATTCACAAAGTACACCCGACGGGGCCCCTCACAGATCAGTAATCGCCAGCGACTGGTGCACTGTGGGCCCCGTCGGGGAGACACTTCTGCCAGGCGGCCGGCTGTGCCACAGCTCCGCATCCGCAGGAGGAGGAGGACAGGGAGGAGGAATGGCTCAGCATCGGCACGAAGGAAGCAGGTCCTAGGGAGAAGGGTCCTGGAATGTTGTCGCCGCTCGCGGGGCTGAGCATCGTTTAATCGACCCCCATCGCCACCAGCGTGGGCTGGGCCCCACTGGCCGATATACCCCCCTGATGGGGATATGGGGCTGCTCTCTTCGGGTTTCGGGGGGCATATCCCCAACTGAGGTGGTGAGACGGTGGGGCTGATGGGGATGGAGATGGGTTAAGTCCGGCCTGTCCCTCTACAGGAGGAATATTTAAAAATAGTAAAAACATAATCTGGGGACGATGTGCTTGACATGGTTTAAATATGTTAATACATGTTTGGGGACAATTTTTGATGTTTCGTTTAAAGTCGGCCTGTAGGGGGGCAGGCCCGACTTGAGGATACGCATCGGTTAAAAAAAGATACTGAGCCCCGTGCCCCCCCGACCCGCCGCGCTCAGTGAATGAAAGAGGGAGCGCTCCCGGGCCCCCCCCCCGCCGCGCTCGGTGAATGAAAGAGGGAGCGCTCCCGGGCCCCCCCCCCCGCCGCGCTCGGTGAATGAAAGAGGGAGCGGCCCTCGCTGCCGCTCGCCGGGCCCGCGTCGCGCATTGAGCAGGGACCGACCGTCCCGGCATTCCTATAGTCATACCACGAAATGTTCTAAGAACCCCCAAATATTCGAATAACAAAAACAATGCTCTTAGAACATGAACCCGATGTGTTAATACAAGACAGTCCCAGCCAGACATGTTCTAAGAACACTTCGTGGGAACCACAAAAAATTCTTGAACATTGTTTGGTGGGGCTATAGGCGAGCCGGGACGCCTCGCCACTGCTTGCAGCCCCCCCCCGCGCGGGCCGCGGGGCCGCCGGCAGAACGGGTCGAAGGCGGAGCGGGCCCCACGTGGAGAGCACGGGGGGGCTGGGGCCGGCCTCCCTCCGGGGCCCCATGGCCTCCACGGCGGCCATGGCCCCCGCCCCCAGGGACGCGGAGGGGAGCGAGGGGACGGAGGGGGAGGACGGTGGAGAAGACATGAGGAGGAGGAGGAGAAGACAGGAGGAGGAGGAGGACGGAGGAGGAGGAGGAGGGAGGGAGGGAGGGAGGGGAGGGAGGGAGGAGAGGGAGGAGGAGGAGGAGGAAGGAGGGAGGAGGAGGAGAGGAGGAGGAGGAGAGGAAGGAGGGAGGAGGGAGGAGGAGGAGGAGGAGGAGGAGGAGGAGGAGGAGCGGGGTGGCGGCGATGGAGGACAATAGAGGGCAGAACATCCACCCCCATAAGAATCACCCCGACACGCGAAGCCGTCTCGTAGGCGCACCCACGGAAGGAATCGAGCAGGGCAGGGCTGCTGCGCCCAGGGCTGCCTAGTAACGCCGAGGTGGCCGACGCCACAGAAAGAAGCAAGACAGGTCGCGCTGGGGCGACGACTGGGGTTCTCACCTGGACGCAGCTGCTGCTGATCCCGGTGTGTCACGAGTTTTCGGACGCTCACCCTATCGCTGTTTCCGAGGACCATCTTGAAGTGGAGCCTGCGCTCCAGGAGTGTTCGACATCGCTTGACCCCTACCTCTAATTGGCGCTGGCGTCTTACCAGCCGCATGACGCTGCAATTGATGTGCCACGTGGCACTACGACTGTTCGCTTCCTCTAGGCCATCCGCAGCAGCAAGACGGATCAAATGAGTAGAAGAGCGCAGAAGGCAAAGAGAGGGACGAAGATACCGACAACCGAGGACGACAACGCGGAGAACAAGGAACCTGCAATAGCTCCTGCTCGTGGTCCTGCTCTACCTGCCCCGCCCCCTCGCCATCATCAACATCGTTGGCATCAGCACCACCATCATCATCAGCATCATCATCATCATCATCGTCATCACCATCATCATCACAATCATCAGCATCAGAAGCAGCAGCATCATCAGCATGGTAAACATCACCCGAAACATCATCAGATCAGCCAACGTTGACCCCAAATAGATTAGACGACTCAAATCAAGGAAGCAGAGGAATCAAGCATGCTTGGAATCCACAACTCATCAAGTAAGCAAGCGTGCAAACAAGCGCGCAAGTAAGCAAGCAAGCAAGCGAGCAAGCCAGCAAGCAAGCGTGCAAGCGCGCATACAAGCAATCAAGCAAACAAGCAAGCAAACAAGCAGGCATTGGCATAGGCGTAGGCATAGGAATTAGGGGGAGGCATAGGCATAGGCATAGGCACAGGCATCGGAATTAGGGGAGGTATGAGAACTAGGGGGAGGGGGCAACGAACCAATCAGTGGGGTTTGAGCTAGGACTCCTATAGGGCAAGCGTATTTGGAGAATAACCAGCATCATCGCAATTATCCACAACAGCATCATCATCAGCATCATCAGCATTACCATCATCATCATAGCATCGTCGGCGTCGTTCGCATCAGCATCATCATCATCAGCATCATCGTCGTCATCGCCGTCGTCGTCATCATATGTTTCTTCTCTGTCGTCATCATCCTCATCCTCGTCCTCATCCTCATCCCCATCCCCATCCCCATCCCCCTCGTCCTCCTCCGCCTCATCCTCCGACGCATCATCATCACTATCATCATCATCATCATCATCATCATCATCATCAGCATCAGCAGCAACAACATCATCATCATCAGCAGCAGCATCCTTGTTGTCACTCGCATCCAAATCCTCCTCCTCCTCCTCCCCCTCCTCCTCATCATGCCCATGCTCATACTCAGCATAATCACCATCATCAGCATCATCAGCAGTATCCTCACTATCATCATCCACATCAGCATCATCGTCATCATCCTCATCCTCATCCAAATTCTCATCCTCATCATCACCATCGTCATCATCATCACCATCATCATCAGCAGCATCATCGGCATCAACATCGGCATCATCATAATCATCATACTTATCGTCATCATGGCCGTTAACACCATCATCATCACCATCATCACCATCATCATCACCATCATAATCATCATCATCATCATCACCATCACCATCATCATCATCATCATCGTCATCATCATCATCATCATCATCATCATCATCATCATCATCATCATCATCATCTTCATCTTCACCTTCATTATCATCATCGTCATCATCATGATCAGCAGCGTCATCAGCATTATCTTCATCATCATCATCATCAGCATCAGCATCGTCATCATCGTCATTGTCGTCATCCCCATTGCCATCACCATCGTCATCGTTACTAAAACCACCATCATCACTATCGTCATCATCAACAACATCATAGTCGTCGTCATACTCCTGGTCCTCCCCATACCTGATCCTTCTCACACATCCTTATCCCCCCTCTGCCCCATTGCACCTCTATCCCTTTCAACCATCCAACCCCTCTCGCCCTCCCGTCCGCTCCCCCTCCTCAACCCCCCCCTCCGCGTCCTCCCTCCTCCTCCTCCTCCTCCTTCCCGAACCCTAAACCCATCCCCCTCCTCCCCCCTTGCTCTATCCCGAACCTCTACTCGCTCCGTCGCTCGTCGTCGCCCGTCGTCGCCCGTCGTGGCTCGTTGTCGCTTGTCGTCGCCCGTCGTGGCTCGTCGTCGCTCGTCGCTCGTCGTCGCTCGTCGTCGCTCGCCGCTCGTCGTCGCTCGCCGTCGCTCGTCGCTCGTCGTCGCTCGCTCGTCGCTTGTCGTCGCTCGCCATGGCTCGTCGCTCGTCGTCGCTCGTCGCTCGCCGGGCGCCTCCGAGGCCGGCGTTCCCGGGCGGCTCCGCGCGGCCGCGACCCGCGGCGGCCGGCCGGGGCCGCGGGCCATCGGCGGGGGCCCGCGCGAGGGGAGCGCCCCGCGGGGGCTCCTCACCGCGAGCGCGGGCGGCGCTCGGGCCCCGAGGGGGGAGGGAGGGAGGAGGGAGGGAGAAGGGAGGGAGGGAGAAGGGAGGAGAGCATGGAGGAGGAGGAGGAGGAGGAGCAAGAGGAGGAGGAGGAGGAGGAGGAGGAGGAGGAGGAGGAGGAGGAGGAGGAGAGCGAGGAGGAGGGCGAGGAGAGCGAGGAGCGGGAGGAGGACGACGACGAGGAGCAGGGCGACCGGGAGGAAGAGGAGTACAGGAGGAGGAAGACGAGGAGGAGGGGCAAGTGGTGGAGGAACAGAGAAAGCGGAGGAGGTGGGGGCGGGGTCAGGGAAGGGGAAGAGGGGAAAGAGGTCGCAGAGAACCCGGGAGAGCAACACTCGTCGACAGCACTGTAGAAAGAGGAGGATAGCGCAGGATGCGGACGGTTGAAGGGGGCGGACGAAGCAAACCAGGCTGTGCAGGTATCCTCGGCGACTCCCTGCCACTGTCGGACTGCCACGCCCAGTTCCACCGGAACCAGGCGCTGATTCGGCGTACGAGGGAAAGGCCAGCGCCGCCGCCGCCTTCCCCGTAACGCAGCCCTTGGCAGAAGGCCCTGCAACAGCCTCTCGGCATCTCTGGCGGAGCGCACATCGTAGAAGGTAGCGCTCTGAACGCTCGTGCTTCTCGTTGCGGTCTGCTGCCCGAGGCTCGAGCTCCACCCCTCGGAGCTTCAGCAGCCCGGCCACCCCGGCGAGCGTGACCCTCCGCTCGGGCAGGCACGAGCGCATCCACTCGTCAGCCTGCGTCGGGCGCCGCACGTGCTCTCTCCGTATGGCCACGCTGCTCGCACTCCGCTCCTGGAGGCAACTCAAACTCGAGCCGACGTGGTGCATCACCTGTTCCATGGTCTCGAACTCGCTCGCGAACCTCGTTTCGTGGGTCGTCACAGGCGCCTCGTGAAGCGCTGCCTGGAATTGCTCTCCGCAGACATCAAGATTGTCAGCCGCGCGCTTCATCACACGCTCTGCGATTCCCATCAAGCCCTGACGCACGTACACTTCTTCAGTTCATTCGAGCCTAACTGGATCAGCTGCGCCGTAGCGCAAAGCTCCTCAATCGACTTCTGCGTCTCCCCAGTTCGCGAGGTCGCCCTCGCGTCACGAACACTCGCGTGGTGCGCTCTCCCAATGCCCATGTGAATGCATGTGCGCGCGCGTTTATCCACCGCTCTCTTCCCCAGCGTGGTTCTCTTGTTCTTGCTCACGAAGCCCGCAACTGCAGCCCAGCTCTCGGCCACGCCCGACGCTTGCTGGGAGTCGCGTCTTTTGCGTGTTCACAAGGCCAGGGGAGGCCGCGACGTCACGACACGACAGGATGACGATGACGAAGATGCAACAATCCGAAACGAGGACCCTCCTGGGTCGTCTTCGGGCTCTCTTGGACCGTTTTGGTGCCTCTCTCGGCCGTCTAGAAGTCCCTTGTGCTGTCCTGGGGGCCTCTTGGGGCCTTCTTGGGCCTCTTGGGGCCTTCTTAGACTGTCCCACGCCCCCGTTGTGCCAACATGGGGTCCTCTTGGAGCTGCCCTGAGCCGTCTGGGGCGTCGGGAGGCCCTGATGTATGATGATGTATGCGTCTCTGCTGGCCTCTCTTCGTCGCTGGCTCCTCCAAACGACTTTTCGCAGCATCTTCGGCCAGGGAACGCAACATCACTGGCCTCCCATGGCCTCCCCTGACCCTGGCCCACCCCCTGGGCTCCGGATCGCTGTATCTCCCATGGCCTTCCCTGGTCCTGGCCGCACCCCCTGGGCTTCGGCTTGCTTTCGTCTCTTGTGCAGCTGTGCTCTCTCGAGCCCGGACCGCACCCCACACTCGGCGCACGTCACGTCGCAATAACGCTTACCAGCCGAGCGACATCGAAGGCTGAAGATTCCGGACGAGGGAGAAATCAAATCGGGGATGCATCGCAGCAGAGCGTGGTAGAAGCGAAGGGAGAGTGAGGGAGAGAGGGAGGGGGCATGCAGGCAGGGAGGGCGACCACGGCAGAAGACGGAACCCAGCGCGTCCCTGGACGCAGTCTCCGCGACGCGCTCCATCAGGAAACGTTCTGGGCCTCCAAGTAACGTCCCGTGCGTTATTGCCTCTTGGAGGAATCGTGGGGCCTCCTGGACGCCCCTTTACCACTTGGCCACAGGAGCTGTCGTTCCGTAGTAGTGTGGTCGACCATGTCAGAAGACAGAATCCAGCGCGTTCAGGGACGCACTCTCCAGCACAAGCTCCATCAGGAAACGTTACGGGCATTCAGGTAACGTCTTGAGCCTTGGGGCCTCGTGGAGGCGCGGCCTTCTGGAACCGAGCGCTTTCTGGGAGAAGCCCTTTGGAACACGCTGCGCTGAAGCCTCCCCTGAACACAGGCTCAAGAGGAAGGGGATGAGGAGGAGGAGGATGAGGAGGAGGAGGAGGAGAGGACGGGGGAGAGGACGAGGAGGAAGAGGAGGAGGTGGAGGAGCATGAGGAGGAGGAGGAGGAGGAGTCTGGGAGCGTTCTAGGCCTGGTGTCACCCCCGACGCGCCTGAGAACCTTCCAACACGGCCCAAGAGACTCCCCCCTGGCCGGCCCCCAGAGGCATCTTTTGGAATGCCACCGAGGCAGCTTGCAAGAGACCCCAGGAAGCCAGCCAAGGTGCGCCTTCGTGTGACTACCTACAAGACCACCGCAACCCAACATGAAGACTCAAATGTCGGGTTTGGGTGGGTACGGGTTCCATCTGTGTTTTTTGTCCATATTCCCAGACGCCCCCCCCCGGGAACGGAGGGCAAATTGGAGCCTTCGAGTTGGATTGGAGTGGTTTGGTGGCTGGTGATCTAGAAACCTGAGAGGCCCATCGGAAACGAAGAGGCGAGAGCCAACAAAAACGTGACAGGGAGAGATCACAACAAGAAACGGGACCCCACGCGTTCCGGCACGCACTCTTCGGAGCACGCTCCGTCAGGAAACAGTATAGGCCCTGCACGCAGGCACGGAGGGCGGCAGCGGGAGGAAACGGAACCCAGCGCGTCCTGGGACGCATCCTCCGGAATGCGCTCCATCAGGAAACGTCAGCGGCCTCGAAGTGGCGTCTCGGAGGCAGCCTCGGGCCTCCGGGGGCCTCGTGGAGGCCCCTTCGCCGAGTGGACACTGGAGCTGTCGTTCCATCAGGGGTACGGACCGCGGGAGAAGACGGAACCCAGCGCGTTTCAGGAGGCATCCTCCGGAGTCGGAGGCGAAAAGGCGAGGAATGCAAAGGCATAAGACTTGCTCTCGGTCTTTCAAGGCTGTGGGCTTCCTGAGGGGTCTCTTGGAAGCCGCTTGGGGGGGCCTTTTGACGGCCTCTCTGAGGGCCTCTAGGACACCTTTTTGGGGCCCCGGGGCCTTCTTGGACGCTCGTGGCCCGTCTGACGCCATGGGGAGCTATTTTGTAGGACTGGCTGGACCGTCGGGGGGGGTCTCATTGGAGCCGCCTGCGAACTCTCTGGGGCTCCTGCTTGGGGCTCTCCGAGGCCATCGGGGCGCCTTCCAGAGGCCCTCGGAAGCAAACGTGCGAGACCTTCAGAGACGTACCGTGCAGTTTTCCTCTGGTCCTCGAAAGTTTTGGCATCCCGGGGATCTCCTGGTAGCCGCTTGGGGGCCTCCTGAGGGCCTCCTGGGCCGTCTCAGGGGCGTGTGGTGTGGGGAGCCTGTTGGGGGCCTCTGAAGCCATCGTTCGGCGGTGGACAAACCTCCCTTTAGTAGACCTCCTCTTAGTGAAAACGGCCTGGGACCGACACCGACGGACCTGGACCCGCAAAAATGACGGCCGCGACGCCCTCTCGCGAACCGAAAGCGGTCAATTCCTTAATCGACGTGTCAGGGTAGGAGGTCTGTCCACCCCCGAATCTTGGGGCCATCTGAACTGTCTGGCGGCATGGGCGGCCGTCCAGACGCAACCTCTCGGCGAGGTCTTTTGGGGGGGCCCTGGGGGCTCCGGTCCGCCCACGGAGAGGGGAGGCAGCTGTCCGGGGGGCCCGGGCCGCGTCTCCTGAAATAAACACACACACACACACACGTGCATGCACATTTGCACA